GCTGCTGTGGGTCGGGTTTCGGAATGAAGAGTTGCCGTGCGGTACAGGAACTCGAACAGCCTGCCTGCACTGCGGAGGTAGAAGTCCTCCTCGGGATGAGGCAGCAGTCGACGACGTGGTTTCTGAGCGTGGTGTGCAGCGCGATGTGGCCCGCACTCCGGTCCATTAGCTTCACGAGCCCCACGCCGTTCGCTGCGCTCTCGGCCTCCACGTGCGCCGCGGCGCTGGCCTGCTGCGTCGCCTCCACCGCCAGGTGGAACCAGAAGGAGAGGTCGATGATGCCCACGTCGTTGTCCACTGTCTATGGCCTGCGCGACGCCAGCGACCTTCACGGGGAGGTCGCGCTCGCCGCACCTCCTCGAAGATCTTCACCAATCCTCACATCGCATGACGTCGCCGCCGATGGCGTACACCTGGTTGAACCCCCGCCCGTTGATGTCATCTACGATCCTAGTGAGGTCGAACCCCACGGAAACCCTAGGCATGGCCACTCATTCACGCACCGCAGTGGCTGGGAGAGCCGCTCCTCTGCGGTGCCGGGAGGATCGATCCGCAGCTGGTGATGACGGAGCCACGGAGGTGGTCTCGATCGTGGGCATGGTCATGGGTGTGGGCGCGAGGTGGATGGGCATTGGCAGTCTGGATCGTGGTTGTGGGCGGGGGGCAACCCATGGGAATAAGAGCGATGATTTGGGATAGCCTTCCTAATCGGCATGGCGCAACGATTCCCTGGAGATCTTTTAGCGCGGTGATTGCGCGTCACACGGGGGGCGGGGCCACTGCATGCGCGGCTGATGGAAGGCGCGCTGGACGAGCAACGGAGTGAGCGATTTTTCGCACGACGGTGAACAATTCCCTCTGCTTTGGTATCGCATCTATGGACGGAATAGTTATAAATATTTTAGTTGTAGAGAAAAGTTACTGCCTGCATGCACAGGCATCTAAACCCTCAGGGTTGGGGACACCACGCCGCACGGGACGCGGCAAAGGAAAGCCTCTCCCTTGGATGCATGTCTTGGTGTCTCTGGTACGGTCGCTCTCCGATCCCGCTGGTGGATGATGAGTAAGCAGGAGCTCAGCAAAATCCTAGGAGGAAGAGAGAGAAAAGAGGAGGGAGAACGAGCTGGGCGTGTCTCGATCACACATTATTATATTATTATACTCCTCCTATACCAGGAGCAGCAGCTAGCTGCACATAGAGCCCGGAAAGAAGCTAGCGTCAGATCTAGAAAGGAGAAAGCCAATGCAAGAGGTGGCCACTCGGCTTTCGTCGTGGTGACGCCCCCGTCTCGGTTGCTGACACGTGCAGTGCGCATCCAGAGATCAAGAACGCTGCAGTGCCGCGCCCTCGTGAAGGGCATTCGTGGCCTTGGCACCGTGACATGTTACATTGCAGCTTTCAGTGCTCAAGCTCAAAAGCTTCACTTTTTCCATACGAAATGCAAGGAGGCGTGTTGTTCAATCAACTTACAACTCGTGATGTGTCCTCGGGTGCCGCTTCAGAGCCCACGTTGTCGCACTCCCTGACTGCCGCCGTGGGCCTTTGCGCTCTCCTCTGTCCAGGTGAGGTGGACACACAGCTACACTTATATTATAGAATAACTATATACTCCGTATAAGAAAAAGCGTGAAGTCACATATTTACTTTTTTTTTACGAACTTGACCACAACGTCCACAAGCTCTCACACCCTGAACTTTTCACTCTGAACTCTGATTTTGATGATATCGGACTTTTCGGAAAGCTATTTCGAAGGGCTATCAGTCCCAACCAAGAACAAGCTCCAAATAAACAAGTGAAAGTGTTATGTCGTGCCATGTGTTTCTCTCATGTTGCTATTCAAGGTTCACTTAGTTTGGGTATTTGAGACTTGTCTAACTATTCGTATTGCATTCCACTTGATAGTATGACATAAGCTATACTCAAGATCAAAAGGATATGTCTATTTCAACCACTTGAGTCTTCAATATCTTCATATGCCTTTCAATATTTTCAACATCTTTGTCTCATTCCTTTGAGCATGTGACTTGAAACATTTCAACACATGTGAGTTCCATTTATGGCTTCAAGTCACTTCCACTTATGACACAATAATAATTTGATCCTCCACACAATATGACTCCTCATAGCTCGATTAGTACACTAACTCAATGCAAGTATTTTTTTTTCTTTACCTTAGCCGTGGTACCTCGGTCGCCAAGCCGTCACTTGCCCTTCACCTTCGCTTAGTGCCTCAAAACCCATTCCTTGCTATCTTAACCCTATCAAGCCATCCTCAAGTCACATCATATCTTGAACCAACATTAAGCATTCATTTGTCACATATCAACATTATCCACATCGAAGTCTTCAAATATTTTCCACCATAATTACTCCATCTGTCCTAGAATATAGTGTATTATAACTTTACTAAAATATAATGCATTCTATGTGGTGCTGATGCTTAGATTTGACAAAGTTTTTTTAAAAGAAAACCATAATTTGAGGAGAAACTCTGTTTTATTGGTTTAATCCCTGGGAACCTACATCATTTGAGTATTCCCTTAAGTTGTCTTAGAATTTTTAGAGTGCGTTGTATTATAGGATAGAGGGAGTATATAGCTTGGCTCATCTTCATTTGATTCTCTGGTATTTCATGGTACATGAGCTTGCTATCATAACGAGACCATTCTATTTGCATATGACCATGTCTCTTTCTACTTTTGCACCTTGGCTAGCTCTTTCTTCACAATAACAATACTCTTGATAATTTTCTTCCTCATGCTTCCATCTTGATCAATATCAATGCATAGTGATTTTTCAAGTCTTTATACATACAAGCAAACTGTAACGCCCTAACCTGGGATGACGGCTAAGATCCACTCTACACGTTGAATGAACCACACCTGCTAATTAACTCGCTTGCGCTTTTGCGCTTTCGTCCTCGCTTCACGCATAAGGATCGATCCGGAGTTAACAGCCTTCCAGGTCCAGGCTTTTAAGCTGGTTCGGCTCTGCTTCAGCTTTCGAGGTGGTACTAATTCTGGCGCCACAGTGTTTTCCGTGATGCTACAGTAACTCGCACCTGGCCTGGCCCAACTGGCCCATTGGGCTGGGTCTCATATCCACCCACCCTCAAAGTATTCGACGTCCTCGTCGAAATCTGAACCAAGCTACCTAGTAGGACAAATGTCCAGGACCGACTCTCTTGGCCACGTCCGTATTCCTAGCTCCCTGGCCCAAGTGCCATGCTCTTGCAGAGCCATGCGCAACCTGTCCGAGCTCCCGAACCATACGTCCGTGAAATCGCGAGAGTTGGCTCTGATACCATTTGTAACGCCCCAATCCGGGATAACGGCTAAGATCCACTCTACACGTTGAATGAACCACGCCTGCTAATTAACTCGCTTGCGCTTTCGTCCTTGCTTCGTGCAAAAGGATCGATCCGGAGTTAACAGCCTCCCAGGTCCAGGCTTTTAAGCTAGTTCGGCTCTGCTTCAGCTTCCGAGGTGACACTAATTCTTGCGCTACAGTGTTTTTCCGTAATGCTGCAGTAACTCGCTTCTGCCCTAGCCCAACTGGCCCATTGGGCTGAGTCTCACACAAACCAATATTGAGACCATCATATATCCAATATATTGTCTCATTTGTCATTTGACCTTTGCTTATCATTTCTTCACGTATGCATTCTTGACTCATTCTTTAACATTTTGTCAATACCAATTTACTATCCATATCTTCTTGTTTATGCAAAGCAAGTCACTATTAAAACCAAACGATGTTCATTTCTCTCTGTCTCATTTTGCCTTGTCAAGCTTACTTCTTCATTCAAGATATGACATGAGTTTGATACGAGTACTTGCAATATAGCATGTTCAAAGACTCATGAAACGCATGGTCCTTTAATTGTTTTGTCATTCATCCACCAGAACCCAATAGGGAGCCTAGATGCACTTTAAATTAGTTACGATGTTTTTAAGAAGCTAGTTTTTATTACTTTTGAAAAATGCAAAAACCACCTTTGAAAATCAGGTAGATGGTAAAATTTGCTCGTTATTATTATTATATTTCAATGGTTAGAGATTTCTGATTTAGAGTTGCATGGACAAAACCAAACTCAATAGTTGGATAGTAAAAAATAGACTTCTCTGGTCTCCCCCATGATAAATATGTAAACTTGGAACCAGTTTAAATATGCATCAGGTGTGTTGGATAAATGAATTTATCAAATTATCATCAGGCCAATCACTGAATGGTGAAATACTATGCTTCAGGAGGGACAGTTTCTGCTTAGTATTGTGGTAACTTTCCAAATTTTAAGTGCATGTGTGTTTACACAAGCAAGAAGCCCACGTTACCCATCGGGGCAGCCGGGGCAAGCAAAGCAGCTAACAATAAATGGGTTAACCGATATTGCTGTGTACATTAATGGATCGATGGATCGGTACCGCCGCACATGTTGGCTCGACAGTTGCACCATCCCCGTCTTTACTGCAAACACTCTGGCTGCACCTGCACCTGGCCGGGGGAATAAGGAGCCATGATAGGCGGCCGAGGAACAAGACAAGCTCTAATAAGGGAAATGTTTCACCAGCGGCCAGCGCTACCGTTTACAAGACTCCAAGCAATGCTATCCTGGCATACATAATCAGAATGTACATGGTATGTCGACAGAAAGGCTTTAGTTTACAACCAGTACTTTTTTCTGGAATGCCACATTGGTGCTACATTTACTGCTGCACTTTGTGTGAACACTCAAAAGAATGTTATATTCGACATCCAGCTTTTTTTTTTCTAATGCATTGCAGCGCGGTTTCTAATGCATACTTAGTACAACACAAATGGGCAGTCGAGACAGAAGAAACCATAGCCCGGCTTCGATGAATCTCGTGAGGAACAATGCTCGTCCTCTCATAATCAGCACGAAATCTTGGAATCCAGCAAAAGAATGTATAAGCTCAGGGTATTGGGGGTGATGTTTCTAGCACCGTTATAACACACAAGCTAAGATGGTGCAGCCAATCAATCTTCATGGTCGTCTTCTCCTTCAGAATCTGTATGGAAAGCAAGGCAAAGTAAAATCAAAGAAAATTTTTCACCTCAACACAAGTTGGAAGAGCATAATTATAACCAAGTTTTACCTACAAGCAAACAAAACTAATTTGCACAGCATTTTACAAAAAAATAAAAAAATCATGCTCTCGTGCAGCAAACCAAAACTTCAGACAGGACAGGGCTTACCAGATCGAACATCATCTCCAACATTTCTTGTCCTGATTTGTCTCACAAGCATCCGATATATTAAAACCCACCAATATATGTGGAGAACAAGTAGTGAAAATAGAAGGGAATTGAACACATAATAGTATATAGGACCATCAAAACTGTGCTTCTTTTTGTCCAAAGTCAACAAGACCTCATAGCTGAAACAAATGGGTTTAGTCAGATCATGTGAAAAGAATCCAAAAACATTCAGTTAGTTTACTTCTAAAGCAAAGCGTTGAATCTTTTAAAAAAAAAGAAAAGAAACCAGCATGTTAACAGTCGGTCTATGTATTAATTGAGAAGGTGAAAAATAGGGGGAAAACCACAGCTACAACAGAAAACAAAACCAACTCACACGATGAAGGCCACAACCTCACATCGACTCAACAAGCACCACAACAAAGAAACTGTGAACCGGACCAACACTGCAATGGGGCGAATCTGTATGGTACCTTATCAGAATTTAACATGTCTATATAATTATTTATTATGATATATTTTGGACACTGAGTTATATGATTAGCAAAGTCCACAAAGGTGTGAAATCTCTAATTCGTGCCAGTGGTGCATACAAAAAATATCCAAAACTTATTTGTGTGGTCAATGGAAGTACAGAGTAAAATTCTCTTTAGAGTATAAGATGCTACTGCCAGACTATACGAAGGGTTGTTTTTAGACTAGAAGGAAGTCACTGTCCAATTTTTCACATTAGTACAAAACAAATAAGATACCAATCTGCTTTCTACTGTATATGCAAACAAACTTTTACAAACTCGGTGATTTTTCTTGGCATAAGAATCTGATAGACTTATGAGTCAGAACAGAACAATTTACCTTGTACTTCTCAGAATCCAGAACGGAAAATATGTGAGGCGGAGAAGAACCCATGAAATAACAAAAAACAGAAACGAAACATTGGCAAGCCAATCACAATGGCTGTACTTGGACATCTTCCCTACTTCCAGGAAAACGTCACTTGCATCATGAATTGCCAATACTATAGAGCCAACTCTAGCAAATCTGGTTGACCAAGGAAAAGAAGATTGAAATTAAAAAATTGTCTATGAATTATGAGAGGAGTTAGAAAAATAAATTAACAAATCAGCAATGATGACTAAGAAGTCCTATACTGAGAGAATGATGTTGCAAATTCATGAAACAACAAAAGCTAACAGTTACTCAAGATAAGAAACATACCTGAACACATAAGATAGAACAATCAGAATAACAGTAGCAACATGATGTGACATTGACACTCCAAAGTCTGAACGCCTTGTTTCCCAAAACATAAGTGCAAATATGGAATATGTGTAGAATCCAGCAGCATACATATATACAGCCTTAAGTTTCAATCTGAGAGTAAGGGCGCAACCATTAGATTTAGATCAGCCTGAGAACCATTAAGAATTTGTATCAAAAAAGTACAGTGGAAGGATCAGAATTACTTTATCTTTTGATCAGGCCAGACCTGTTCTCCTGGTCCTACCCAAAAATATCTGGTATTGGTGAACCAAGGCTCGTTATATGTGACTGACAAAGATAAAAGCTCTCCAGACAGGAAATAAACACATTTCCAAGCTGATTCCTTGAATTTTCTTATCTTCTTCCTTGCTTCTTCTGTTTCATTATTAGCTCTCTGATGTCCATTCCCATTTATAAGCCTCCTCGCAACCCACTAAAACAGTTACAGAAAAAAAAGCAGTTAGGTTATCGATTAATGCAAAACTTAGAATAAAAAAACAATGACCTCGTACAAAAGGATCAACCACGACCTAAGGAACATAATATATCAATGATTAAATAAATGAAGATGAAACGAAAAATGTGAAAAAAAGAGAGTTGGTGGACCATTAAAATAAATGCAGAAAAAATGAAAATGTGAAAAAACAGAGTAGGTGGATCAAAAGAGAAATCATTGGAATACCAGAGACATGACTACATAGAAGCATATTGCGAAGCCATGCATCCTTGGAATGTAACCCTTTTCGGAACAACGTATTTCAAAGGCATAAGCAAATGCGAACCCAATAATGACAAAAATGATAAGTACTGATGAAAATGATCCCAGCAGGGAAATGAAAATGTCTCGAGTTGAAAGATAATACAAATGATAGAAATGGTTGCGGGCCAAAAGAACTCCATTAGCCAGATTTGTATAAAGTGATTGTGCATTATTTTCTATAATAACACTTGGGTAAAATAAACAATTTCATTTTTCATCTAGTTGAACTTAGCATCTCGACTAGCCTTCCAGTTAGCAATATTTATAAATGGACATAATTTATCCTGCTGTAAATCTTTTAGCTTCACCAAAATGAATGGAAGAACTCTGCATTTCTGGTGTCCAAATTCCAAAATGCAACTGCTGACTGGTTACAATTACTTTCCAGATCTGAATGCTCATACATATAGCTAGCACTAGAAATTTTCAATAACACCTTTTTTTTCTCGAACACGCAGGAGAGCTGCGTATCATTGTATTAATAGAAGAATAGAGTCATACATAGAACCAAACCCACACACACAAACACCCACTACAAGGAAACTAAATCGCCGGTTAAAAGCAAATGGACAACCCGACCGCTACAGCAGTCCTTTAGACTGCTCCTCCGGCAGTGAGCAGGGAGATCCCCTTGGCTCCTACCAGGCTCCACCAATGGGTCTCTTCCCTTGCCAAAGCCAGAACCATATTAATATTTGGGGTTGCACCATTGAAAACGCAATCATTTCTATGCCACCAGATACTCCAGGCTCCCAAAATGACTAGAGAGTTCAGACCCTTCCTCAAATCTCCACTAGCAGAATTATCAACTTTTCTCCACCATTCATCGAAGGATTAGTCAGTAGGATGTGGAGCAAGTGATGCAAAACCAAAATGCAACAGAAGGGAGAACCAAAAATCTCTTGAGAATACACAGCCCACAAGAAGATGTTGAATATTTTCCCTCACATAGTAGGCACTATTCACTTTAACAGGGAATATATAAAGCTCAGCGAAATTTATGGCCCCAGAAAATCATGAAGGTGAAGCAAACTGTTCTCACACTCCACACCTGGAACTCGTGACATTGTAATCAGCAGGTGTGGGGGGTATAACCCCAGGTACCCACGGCAAGGGACATGGGCTGCACGGTCAAGGACGGTCCAGCCCACAAGATTCAAGACTTGCGGTGCACGGCACTACTCGGCGTACACTGTAAGACATCTAGAAGATTTGATCGGATACTACAGATATTGTAATCTAATACTTGCTATTTAACCGACTAGAATACTTTCCTTGTAACCCTACCCCTCCAGAGTATATAAGGAGGGGCAGGGGTCCCCTAGCGGCATGCCCCATCCCACATCCAATCACACACGCAATATCATACGATAGCCAATACAAACCAACAGACCACAGGAGTAGGGTATTACGTCGTGCAGACGGCCCGAACCTGTCTAACTCTTGTGTCTCTGTTGCCTTCTTGTTCTTGATTATGCGCACCTCTGCCGATTAATCTACCTTCGTGGGATACCCCTCGGAGGACTGCCGACGATATTCTGTCGACAGTTGGCGCGCCAGGTAGGGGTGTGCATGTTGTTTCCATGACGAACAAGATGGTACACTTTTCAGGCTCTTCGTCCTCTCCAAAGCCCGACCCGATCTTTACGGTCGGATCGATCTCCTGGGTCATCAATGCTGACGGAGACGGAGAGATCATCAAGCCGGTGCAGATCGATTCTGCGCCAACCAAACCAACACCTGCAACGGCAGATCCGATCTCGGAACCGCCTCCGAGGTCGTCTTCACCAACAACTCGCCGCCTGCTGCCCCGCTACTCGAGGAAGCAGGTCGGCAACGACGATCTGATCGCATCCATCGATCAGGTCGGCCAGAAGCTCGCCGACTGCCTCTCCCTAACGGAATTGGCTCTGACCACTCTGGTTCAGCGCCGACCACCTTCCGGTTCCGATCTATCGGAAGCCGATCGAGAAACTCCAGGGGATACGACCACCATCCATCAGGATGCCCTAAGGAACAAATTCGCCGACCAGATAACGCCATACGCCACCGACCAGATGTTCTGTCTAAAGCTAAGTCACGCTTTAACATTTTTCTAAATATTCCTCAACCTTCATATATCTCAATGATGTTTCTCCGAGCTGTTTTCTCCATGTTTGCTCTACAAACGATTTTCTTTCATGTATATCATCTTAAAGATGACATACAACTAAGTCTAAGGCAAATCCCCGAACAGTCATATTGATGCTCGGATGTTCCCAGAGACGGCCCTGTCTCCGGCTTCTCCCTACACGTGCACGAGCGCCTGCCCTCTGCGTTTGGGGTGGTCGGCAGCGCCTCCTTAGCGACGCCCTGCTCTTCCTACACGCATAGGAGCTCCGCGCTCCGCGTTATGGTTAACAGGCTAGCTAGGGTTGGAGACTCAGCTACACACTAACTGATCGGATGGTTTATATTAAATATAAATACATCTTCAAAATAACACTAAGTGTTCACACCAACTGATCGCCGAGCTGCATACGCTATTTTATCACCATTGCTGATTCTTCTCCGGAGTTCATATATTTTATTTTTACATCATGTACTACCCATTCTACACATTTGTTTCGTAGGGGCACGGTTCGGTCAACGAGCTTACGCTCAGGGACTGGACAAGATGATCATCGTCCGGGTGGTCGGACCACCTATCAAACGGACTTCACCGCCAACCAACTGGTCGGACTGCTCGGCGCTCACTCCTGCTCGGCGTTCACTTCACCGCCGACCAGTTGGTTGGACTGCTCATCGCATGGGCTTCATCGTCAGCTACGCTGGGGCTTGCCACCTAAGCTGGTGACTCCTCGGCGTTCGGATTCTTCGTGCAAGAGTCGCCAGCTAAGCTGGGGACTCCCTTGGCGGCCGGGTCTTGCTACGTCTCATCGGTGTGCTATCAAGCTGCTCCATGCTCTTCGGATCAGGATGCTGATCTTGGGCAGCATGTATGGGGTCTTGATACGCGCATGTCAGATGACGTCGGCAAGCTTTCAAACTTCTTTTCTTTGACCCTACTTCAAGATTCATTCTTCATCTTCCAGCAGGCTCGGGGACTAAGTGGCTACACTTCACCTGGCGATGAATGTAGTGCTTATTTCTTGATTTACCCTCCTTATTGACAGAGTCTAAGTGGTTACACTTCTCCTAAGGGGAAGAATTTTTAAATTTTATCTTGAGCCCCTTACATCTTTCTGGCAAGCCTTACTTGGCTAAGTCTGAGGTCTCCTAACCAGTTAAACTGGTCGGCATCGACTTTCACCGCCCAGGTCACCAATTAAACTGGTCGGCTTCGACTTCCACTGCTCGGATCACCAGTTAAACTGATCGGTTTCGACTTTCACTGCTCGGATCACCAGTTAAACTGATCGGCTTCACGTCAAACTGGTCAGACTTGTTCAAGACGGCGCTGCTCAAAGGATACAAGACGATCGGGGACTAGCTGTGGGAGGTATAACCTCAGGTACCCACGGCAAGGGACATGGGCCGCACGGTCAAGGACGGTCCAGCCCACAAGATTCAAGACTTACGGCGCAAGACACTGCTCGGCGTACACTGCAAGACATATAGAAGATTTGATCGGATACTACAGATATTGTAATCTAATACTTGCTATGTAACCGATTAGAATACTTTTCTTGTAACCCTACCCCTCCAGAGTATATAAGGAGGGGTAGGGGTCCCCTAATCGGCATGCCCCATGCCACATCCAATCACACACGCAATATTATACGATAGCCAAAACAAACCAATAGACCACAGGAGTAGGGTATTATGCCGTGCAGACGGCCCGAACCTGTCTAACTCTTGTGTCTCTGTTGCCTTCTTGTTCTTGATTACGCGCACCTCTGACGATTAATCTACCTTCGTGGGATACCCCTCAGAGGACTGCCGAAAAAGAGCAACTAATCCTAGAAATAGTATGCCAATTGGATTTAAATAATGCGACCCTCTTTAAGTCTAAAAACGACCAATCCGAGCAGCTGCCAACATACTGATGTATGAACCAACAATTTCTTCAGGAAACCTGTTCGCGGCTGCAAACCAACCAACCAGGCTACTCCCTCCTTATCAAGAACCAATGTTAAAAGAGCAAGCATCCCCATTAACTCCCGTTACCTTCTATGCGGAAGCTGCATAGCATTAGCATTGGACTGATCCTGGATTCCGGGACCACCATTTACCGTGGAGAAACATTGTGCCCATACGCTAAGCATATTTCAGTGGTCATAGAGTTTGGAACCAAACAGTTTTATATATATAGGCGAGGAGAGGGAAAATTTGCTATGAGAGGAAAAGAAAAAGAAAAAGAAAAGACGTGATTTTAGATCTTGAGGAGAAGCTAATCATTTGAGCTTGATTGCTTGAAAAAGATAAAATCGCTTTCCACGTGTCAAATTAACCCAAGACACGCAACGATTAGATGATGAGATCACTAAAAATAGCGGCTCCTTGCACACACAAGACAAGCAGTTTAGCCGAGTCAATTGCACAAGCTGTTATTAGAGGTAGGGAAACCAGCAAAAGTCGAGGCGACTTTCTCGGCAGCAAGCTACGCGCTCGCGTTCAGCGCAGAGTCGAAGACCTTGACCGAAACAACGGAAGAAAGAAAGAAAGAAAGAAAGAAAGAAAGAAAGAAAGAAAGAAAGACAGACGGCAAGGGCAGGCGCACCTCGAAGACGAAGCGGTCGAGGAGGAAGCGGACGGTAGGGAAGAAGAGAACGAAGGCAGGGAGCGCGATGAAGTCGTCGTACGCCGGGTAGGCCTCGCGCTCCCAGTCCACGGCCGCGAGGAGCCGCCGCGCCGCCTCCCCGAGCCCCATCCCCGCTTCCCCAGCCCAGGCCGAATCGAAGGCAACTTCTGGAGTCCCGTGGTGGCTGCAGCCAGAAAGATCGACGGGATTGGACCCGATTCGGCGGCTCTGTGAAGGAAATCTCTCGGGGAGGGAGGATTCCCGCTGTGTGGCAACGCAGCGCCCTGCTCGCCTCTGTTTCGCGACCTGTGTGAAAGCGATTTTTCACTTTCCCTGTTCGTTTGCCGCAAGGTTTTCTTTTTCTAATTAGCCTTGGGGCCTGTTTAGATCCCTTCCGGTTTGGAAAATGGACACGGTAGCATTTTCGTTTGTATTTGGCAAAAAATATTTAATTATGGACTATTTAGGCTTAAAAGATTCGTCTCGCCAATTGCGGACAAACTGTGCAATTAGTTATTCTTTTTACCTATATTTAATGCTCCATGCATGTGTCGCAAGATTCGATGTGACGAAGAATCTTAGAAAATTTTGGATTTTAGGTGAAATCTAAACAAGGCGTTAATAGATTCTCACAAAACACGACGGGATTTCACGTCGTGTTTTGTTTTCATTTTCTCGTGCCTTTTGTACTGTCAGATACGGTACCGAAAATTCCAAAACGTTGGGAATTGTAGCGAAGTGGCCGACATCAGCATGAATTGGTGATCATTTGTTCGATCGGGTTTTTTTTCTTCCTAAGGCTAAAGTTTAGGCACACGTGGAATCTTGATATCAATCAAAAGTATTAAATATAGACTAATTTTAAAATTAATTACACAGATTGAGCCTAATTTACGAGATAAATCTATTAAGTCTAATTAATCCATAATTTGACAATGTGGTGCTACATTAAATATTTCTAATTAGGCTTAATAGATTCGTCTTGCAAATTAGTCTACTTTTATGTGATTAGTTTTATAATTAGCTCATATTTATCCCTCCTAGTTAGCATTTAAACGTTCGATGTGACACGAACTAAATTTTAGTCCCTGGGTCCCAACACTCCCTTCTCTATGAGCTATTTTAGTTGTGGTTTCATAAAAGTTTTAGTCTCATTAAATAAAGAAGTATGGGCCATTATCAGTGTAGTGTTTATAAAGCAATTTCCAGTAGTTACAAAGATCTTTAGAGATTTTACGTTGACTAGCAAATATGTCCGTGAATTGCTACGGGAGATGTACACTATCAACCATTTATGGTAAACGGTTACTTTATTAATTTTTTATTAAAGTCAGCAAGAAGTTAGTTGCTAGATTGATGTCTGTCAATGATTATGACAAAAGACTTCTCTCGATTTTCTGCATGGCAGTCCTCATTAGGGATTGCAGAGATATATTTATCTTGACTAAATTAGACTATAAATTGTTCAAGATTTTGAGTTTACGGTTTGATTAGTTGAATGACCATATGCTGATCCAGATTTCAGTAAGAACAATTTTCTTTCAAATAATAACTATATCAACAACTTAGCGGTGATTATCTTTATTTTTTTTAGAAGAAGGGTTAATTGTTCAATGCCTATGTGTCGGTGTTTTCGGACCACCGACGAGTAAATTTGTATTTGCGCACCTGGCTTGGATGGTGTGCTCGGAGGACACAAGGGTTTATACTAGTTCGGGCGAAACGTCCCTACGTTCAGTTCGCTGTTGCTCGTGTTACCGACACTTGGTTTGTAGTAGGGGCTATAAAATAGGCGAGAGAGGGAGAAGATCTCAAGTCTCTGGTGGAAGGAGTGAACGGGTGCTGAGAGCTCGCTTGCCGCTCAGCCGTGTGCTCGTGTCGTGCGCTTTTGTTTTGATTTCGTCCGGGTCTCCATCGTGTGGCGCCCTGCTTTTCCTTTTATAGGCGAAGGAAAAACACGGGTTACTGTGGAGAAAAAGGAGAATAACGAGAGAGAAGAAGGCTTCTAGGATCGCCGGGTCCTTCTTCTTCTTCATGTGGGTCCCGTCGATCCTGTAGATATCAACAGGGATGGCTCCACGTCGTGGCCCTGTTCGTCACTGGCGCCATGCGCAGGAGTCATCTACCGGTCATGGCGTTCCACTCCATCCCGACGGACGTCGTGGTGAACTGATGTGCCTGTCAGCGTCCGTACGAGGATTGGGCAGAACAGCACTAGCACGTCCGACACTGTTCTTGATGTGAATCCCCAGGTATGGCCCGTCATGGCCACGGGTTACATCGAGGCGTGTCAGCCTCTTCCCCGGCGTTAGAGTTTTGACCTGGGCCCATACGCTTGGACCTAGAGTGGTTGGCGACGGTTTGAGTCCCCGTCGGACGAGATGGAACCCGCGTCCTTAAGGTTGGGCGAGATGGAGCCCGCACCCAAGGCGTCGGGCGAGATGGAACCCACGTCCTTGGGGTCGGGCGAGACGGAGCCCACGGCCTTGAGGTCGGGCGAGACGGAGCCCGCGGCCTTGAAGTCGGGCGAGACGGAGCCCACGGCCTTGAGGTCGAGCGAGACGGAGCCCGCGGCCTTGGGGTCTGGCGAGACCTTTTAATATGTCTCGAGCCATGCGGGGAAGTCAGCGTGAGCGCTCACTTCCTTGCTTTAGGTATCCCTAATATCGATACCCGACAGTAGCCCCCGAGCCTGCGGAGGAGTAGAATACTCCTTTACAGGCTTTTCCGGGTGGGAGGACTATGAGGGCCTTAGCCTTCTTTTTGTAGCCCGTGGCATGTCCTAGTAGGGCGGTGATTCCCTTTTGTTGTGATCGGTCTTCTAGGTGGCTTGTAACCGTAGGATTCGGGAGGTCATTAAGATTGTTCTTGATTCTTGTCCCTTAGGATCTGATCGGCCACCGTCGTACCACGACCAAGCGTTTGGTCTCCTTGCGAGTCCAACTTCCCTAGAGCCCCCATGCGTAGCAGGGGTCCAGTCGAGGGTCAACTCGTGTTTGTGATTGTCATCCCTCAAGCATTTTTTCGATACAACGGAGGAGCTGAGCCGTGCCACGTTTTTCCTCGATGGACGAAACATGGTGCTCGGTGAAATGTTAACGGGCTAGTCCGAGTGGGGCCCCGGCTTCCCATTTGCGGGGGTCTGGCATGGGTCAGCTGGTGACTGACTCCAGACTCTTGGCGCCCAATCCATATATTTCTTGGGTCTGTTCGGTCGGTCCCAAGTGATGAGGACATGGCACCTTTGGATACGAACAATGATTATAAGGTGCGCTCGTTCCTACATTTGCATAGTGGCTTTGGTTATAATTCAGTTGGTTCCACATGTACATGTCACTATTTGATTGTAGGTTCAAATGTGTTTCATAATGGAAGTTCATCAAAGTTGAACTTTCGGTTCGTCGGCAGCCCGACAGTGCCTCATTGGGAAGGCCATAACTCATCCATCCGGAGTGCGATCGAGGTCAATGAGCACTTGATGGAAAGCTTGTTTGATAAGCTTTCAAATAGATCTGGTCCCATCTCAATATCATGTCGGCAAGGCCTCCAAATCACCAATATATTCTGTCGCTATTTCTGGCGGGAGCTACACTGTCGTCATGGGCTTGTTAGACATCTTTGGGATCCAGGCCCAAGTTGGAGCACGCCCCAAGAAGATGGAGAACACCTAAGAGATGGCCTTGGACGTCCTCCTCCTTGGCCACCACCTTAGGATGCCAGCAAGGACGTCTAAGCCAAGCCAGAGGCCCAGTCCAATCCGAGTTCGAGTCTGCCTCGGCCGTCAGGACCAGTCTGCAATAAAATGGACGCCCAGGACGCATCCGGACTCCGTTTTCAATGATCCACATATGGATGGAAAGCTAATTTGATAAGGAAGCCAATCCAAGTGGTTTCACATCAAAATCTGTTCGGAATCAACGGGAATCATCGAAACAAGTCAGCGTTCAGAATCTGCCAGGGTGCTGCGACACCGTCTTTTGGTCCGTTGGACCATGTATCGAGTTTGGGCCCATTAGGGGCGCGTCCAGGGGTCTTGCACGACCCTAGAGTCTTCATAAACAGCCGCCACCCCTCCATTAGGGTTTGGGGTTTTGCTTAGATTATTTTGTCAAGAAACAGTTTCGCCGTTCTTCGGTTTGTGAGACCCCAACTCGTGAGATTAATCATACATTTGCAATTTGGTTGCGTTCTTTCTTGTTCTTGCTTGTGTTCTTCGTTGCGCAGGCAGGGATTAGCCTTCTTGGCGAGGTCAACCTGGTCCGTGACTCGGTTGATAATCAGAGGAGCTGTGGTGCTAAGATTGCAGGGTTCGATCTTTCGATCTGAAGCCGGATCGGTGTGTCATTCTCCGCCACAACGATAGTTACCATCACCTGACGGAAGATCGGGATCCCCGTCTCCATTACCAAGGGCTCGTTGCCTTTCTTTAAGAAAATACCATGGACGGGGAACCGACCAAGACTCGAACATGGTCCGGGATGGCCGCGGCACTCGTGCACCCAAGTATTGGCCGCTAGTGGGCCCATCCCTTTCCACCCCTCGCTCTAAGGGTGCCCCAGAGCGACTGTGAACCCATCGGCGGGCCAGCCTTTGAACTCCTAGGCCTAAATGGGCCGTAGGAGCGTTTTTAGCTCTATATCCCTCCTTACCTGCGATGGTTCTTGGACCATCGACCGGGCGAACCATCATCCGGTGTGTCCTTCGTGGGCGTGGCCAAAGATAGCACGCACACGATCTTCGGGGGAAGGTGATGTGACGCGGCGCAGCAGGTGTGTGAACCTAGGTGGACGGTTTGCCTTCTCGCCCCGCTCCGTCCTATAAATAGCGGCCTCCCCCTTCATGTTTTTGCACACCAAAACCATAGCCTTACCTTCTCCGTTTCTCCGCCGTCGCTATACGGATCTGTCCTGCTTGCTAATCCGCCACCGAGCCCTAGATCTATAGCTTCCGCTTCTTCGCCACCGCCTTTGCTTCTCCACAGCCGCCTCCATCCTCCATGGATTCATGGTACCGCTCTGATGTTACCCATGCACGGATGGAGGGCCTCGTCAAGCTTAGTCTTCTCCGCAGGAGGATCGATGCAGCGGAGTGGCTTGTGCCCGACCGTGAGTGGCTATGTCGTCTCCTTC